ATCGACCACCTCCTAACTTCCGAAAAGGATGGACTAGAATACTGGCAGGTCACCCACACCTGACAGGAGGACGACTCGGGTCCTCAGCCAAAGCGATTAAATGTACACCTGAAAGGCAGCGGGTCTAGCACATGGTCAATTCACTGACTCATGCGGATTGGTGTCCTGGATCTTAGCAGGGAGAAGGGCGTTACCCAACTCATACCCAGTAATCGCCACTAGGAGGCGTCTAGGACGAGCCAATGGCACACGTTAGCAGCAGTGGGTAGACCATCTTTCAGGATCTAGCCACCTTCAGCCTCAGCGCACCATAGGCTCTCCTGGTATATATATATATATATATATATATATATATATATATATTGATCGCGATCTGTGTACAGGTATTGCGCCATGGAGACCATGGCGGTATAGGAGAGCAGGATTAGACTAAGTGAAGAAAGAAAACAAGCACTTTTGGTTCATTCTCCCACTTACCGTTTTTGTGTTTCTTGATGTTTTTTCCTTTGTTGATGAGGAAAGGAGAATCACCACAACAGGCTGAGATACACGACCACCACTAACCTTGGTTTTGATCCATGACTTCCAAAGTTTTCAACCAGCGGTACTCGGCATTTTTGAAACCCCATCCAGGATGTCGAGAGGGACCAAGCGAGGTCAGCTGTTTTGTCAGCTTTTTCATCTTGCTTCTCCAAGTTGTATGCCGTCCACCACACCGCCTCCTCCACCCCTGTCCAGCGACCGCGAATAAGGCACGACGCGTTGGACGCTGAACGGGCATAGGCAGTACGTGTTTAAGTCATCGTAGTTGGCGCAGCGAGACGAGCATCTCGAGGGAGTTGCTGCCTCCACTCAAGTCACTCTGTCTGACTTCTCAGTGATGCGCCGCTTTTGCGACAATTCGGACCGTGTCGATGACCATTTCAGTACTGACTGTGTGCCACCCAGCAGTACACACAAGATGTTTCTAGCCCCCGTTCTCAACTCAGGTTGGCTATTTTCAACGTTTGGATACCCATGCAGAAAGGATCGCGGGATGCTTTCGCTCGCACTCTGGAATCCCACAACAACGGTCCGTTACTTCACTGAAACCCATAACACAACTATAAATTTGGCATTATACCTTACGTGCTCCAGTTACACATTCATATTACGCTTACCCACAAATGTGACTACTAAATCCAGTGAGCCAGCCCGGTGTGCGCATTGCGTCAAGTGCACATGCTGTATCGGTGCTGTTTTACTGGATCCCACTTGACAGCCGACTCTGTGTAGTTCTGCTGGAAACTGCATAATCATCCAGATGCATGAAAACCAACCGCCCAGTCGTTTGTTGTAGCAGTGTGCTTCTACGGTTGCAGCCCGAACTCAACCAAATATGTGTTCTACCATCTATTCTTCGACATTATCCACAAAAACTGCACGGATCTTTTGTTACTTTCTGGAAATTGAAACGCACAAGTCGGTAGACTCAAACTTAATGAACGCAAACTCTGATCAACATAGCCACCTTGTTCGCAAATCACATAGCGGTGATCGCCCTCTACTTCTGTGTTGTTCACTGCTTATTCCACTTGTGTACTATTTTTCGGCGCTGCCGGCACCACCGCGTCACTTAGCGACTTCCTTAGCATGGATAGTATTGGGCGCAGGTTAACCACATCGCTATCAGTTACCGTTGTCGGGGCCGCATAATGGATTGCGAATTAATATGGACTGTATACCACTTCGGCTTACGCTCTTGTATGTGCTAAAGTTGTTCTAAGTTTTGTTGGCACTGGAAACTGCTTTTCTTACCCAAATTTGACACTCCAAACTCAATGCTTTTTAAGGTACGTTAGCTTCTGATTTTAAGAACTCACTCCCAAACGTCAAGGCGCATTGGGCATATGCAGAATGCAAAAGCACGAGCCTACCACTGTTTTCTACTATCACAAAGCGCGTCAGCTAATGTATTTCTTCATGCTCTTTTCAAACCACGGTAGCCCGTCTCACAATCCCTGTTGCTGTTGAGTATGCTTTATTGTGCAGAGCTACCAACACCTAGGTAAGACAGCTCAGTAAAGATCGCGATGTCCGGTGGGCGCAGCGTGTCATGGATATGAAATTACTGCCTCCTCATGGAATTTCCAAAATGTTTTCTTTTATCCGATCCACTGGCTGCAAGAAACTAACTGTAAGCCAAGTGGTATGTGTGACCAGCGGTGAGGTAATTCACAATCGCCGAAACTAGCTTGCAGTTTTGGAAGAGCATTTTGAGCAGCAGTTCAACTGGTCTTGAGTTCTTACTGTTTTATCCGAGATGCTCCCTCCTCATCATCCGATGCTGGGGTCTCCTACGACGTCCATCTTCTGCAGCGTCACAAATCTTCTGGTCCAGACGAGCTGCCCCCGGCCCTTTTCTAGCATAAGGCCCATCTCTCCTTTGTGAAGGAACTACTCATTTAAAACTTTGGACTACGGAAATCCTCGCGTCTGACGAGATTACCAAACATCTTGCCTGCCTTCAGTGTGACCGAGTGGAGTGCACCAGCTACTGAGTTGACCGATGGCCGAAAGGATTGCGCGTTTAAGTTGTACTCCTGGGATCACTGGTTCGAATCCACATAGGGGCACGTGACCATGTAGTGTGTATAAATCTTTGCATTTTCATTTTAACTTCCTATTCTTTTTTCCGTCATCTGTTGTACAAATGTTTTAACACACACGCCCAGATAGACACTTCTTCTAATTTCGTTCATCTTCTGGTTTCGGTGACGTTGTACCGCTTTGGATTGTTGTATGTGTGCTTCCCATCGGTCGTCGGATCTCAGTTTACGGATGATTCCTCCGTTTGTGCTGTCAGACAGGTTTGCTGCTTTTTCTCAAATGTGTAAGTAATCGCACTTAGGTTCTATCCGTTGTAGACTTTCAGCGGTTAATACCTCTCGGTCAGACACTATAACTCACGCTATGTCTGACGCACGCGCGAAGTGTCGACAAGAAGTGACCGCGTACTGCTGATGCATGACTAGTCTGCTGAACATCAATCTGCGAGATGCTGACTACGATTTTGACGCATGTTCTTCGTCTCCACTGTGCGAATCTGGGTATCTGTCTCGTCTCATCATGGCTTCCAGGGTTCACCTTCTTGTGTCTAATCTTCTTGTTACCATGGAGAAATTGACAAGGTCAGTGTATACGGGAACTTGTTGTTTCATGCTAGCTCCTTAGAACAACAGATAGCACTTAAGAAGTTGCGTTGGCTTAAAGACGTGCTACGTATGCCTGGTCACCGTTTATCTAGGAGGGCCTTCTTTAGTCTGCCACATGTAGGCTGGTGCAAAACTCGAGGTGGACAGAAGTTGACTTGGCAACGTGAAATGAAGTCACTGACGACCAAACTGGGTGCCGTTGGTCCTTCTCGCTTTCCGAGCTGGAGTCCACATGCCCCCCCCCCTTGTGCTTGGCTCGAGATTTTACAGAACATGGCTCTCAAGCAACACCAGTAGCGCGTGTGCTACCGTCTCCTAGTCGGATTGCATGTTTAAACTGTGTTTGGTGCTAATGTTGTCTGTGGGGCTGATTATGACGGGGGGCAGTGAAAGCCACAAGGAAGCTGTCTCGTTGATACCACCTTATCTTTGCACGATAGCCAGCTGTTTGTGACGGTATGTTCTTAACACGAGGTGTAGACGTCTTGACCTTGAATGTTCGTTTAGGGCATTAAGGTTTTCAGGTAAGTCCACCTTCTCTCCCTCTTTTTTTCCATTGCTCATCATGGTTGTATGGCGGCGAAGCATCATTTCAAATAACTGATATGCTGCTTATGATGATGATGATGACTTTGTTTCCTTGACCTCAAGACTTGATTGGGTCTTAGACGAACGGGCTCTCTCTGATTTCCTGGAGCTTAGTGTCTCTGGTAGTGTTATCTCTTGAATTGATGCTTTTTTAGAATGCTGCAGCATGCGAGCTAACGTTAACGCGCCGTTTGCGTCGGTGTTCATGGTTAACTCTTCTGCAGGGCTCCGTTTTGTTGATTGTTTTATCTATGCTGACGATCGCAAGCGGTGGTTGGAGACATTTAATCTTGATGCTAACTGCGTACAGGTTACACCAGACTCAATGCACTTATGTGTGACTCCTACCCATAAATCGTGATCAACTTTTCGCTGAACTATTCGCTGTCAATCACATTGCAGCTTTTCTGCGCAAAATCTCCACTCAAGAGAAAAGAACCTGGGTATGATTGTATCGCCCGACCTAGGAACAAGTCAGGACGCTGAGAAGCGTCGCTGCTTGCAACCTAATGATCCATTCCACAAATTTGTTCTCCTTATTTCTTCCTTGAATCATTAGCCACTTACTATTTTCTTACCTACGTCTTATTATTGAGTTTGGTTTGCCTGTTACCCATATCACTGTTCGAATATGTTCTGGTAGTAGGTTCAAAAACGCTAATCAAACTCTACTTCAATACTACGTGGCTTGTCCAGTCCTCTTCGACTGCAGCGAATGAGCCTGTGCTTTACCAGTCACTATTGCAATTTGGTTCACACCAGGGAGGGACCATAGAATTAATTGCAACTGTTCTTTCAGCTCCACTGAGACAGCGCGATGTGGGATCACAGTTCAAATCTGATTAAACCGCGCAGCCTCCAAATCCGTTCTAATGCAACCTTATCCATCCAGGCAATGAATAACTGACACAGTGTACTATTGCATGTAGTCATTGCAATGGTGGATGATGGAACCGCACATGCTTTTGCTGCAGTTGTAACTTTCTGTGGGAACATCGCATCCCAACGAAATGCGCTTTCGGCGCAGTCGGTAACGGTGCTAACATGGGATCTCTCTTCAGCTCTACAACTCAATGATCCGAACAATGAAGTTGACACATTCCTTGACTTGAGCTTATGCTTTTTAGCAACTCTACTTGCGTTTTCCCTCTGCTCATCTGCGGTACTGACTGCTTGTTTTTACACCTTGGCGGTACGCATCTACCTTTTATTTTTCAGCTTGTAAAACCACTCCAGCTTTACTCGTACCGCTGCACCGTACAATCCACTGTTCAACATGGTCGTCAATGTTCCTGCTCTTGTAAGTTCTTTCACGTTAGTAGCTTACTTTATCCAGGTTGGGGGTATTACTTCTGTCGTTGTCGTAGGCGCTACCACAGGCGCTCTGTTGTGGTTCTTCTTGGGGAAGAAGAAACCCCAGGTTACTCTCACGGATCCTTCGAAGAAAGTTGCTCTTCGTGTTGTCGACCGCCAAGTATTCTCTAATTTATATGCTGACACAGACAGTTCATTACACATGATACTATGTATCTGAAACTCGGGCTACAGTCGATGGAACACATCCTGGGATTGCCTGTTGGTCAGTTTTGTATCTACTTATCGTTTTAGGCAATCATGTTTATCTCAGTGCTCGTATCAACGGGATACTAGTGGTTCGTCCATATACCCCAATATCCCTTGATGAACAGAAGGGTTATGTCGATTTTGTTATTAAGGTAACCGGTTTTTTAAGCAAATTTGCTCGCTCGTTTTATTTTTTTGCTTTCTTGGGCATCTGCTACAAAATGTACTTGCATTACTCATCACTTCGGTCGCATTCACATGTCTTGGAGAATGATGGAAGACCATTGAAACCCATGCCTCTTCTAGCAACCTGTGCTCTCATTCAGAGCCAAGCACTTTCACCACCAACAATCAAAAATATTCACTCTGATGTTTCAGAATCTATTGCACTCGCATATTTCAAACGTTTTATCGCCGTTGTTACTGCTACTAACTTCTCGGTGAAACAAAATGCTGGTTTTCATTATCGAAATTTTCCGCCGAGTAGTTTTATACTCTCTTACCGCCTGTCGCTACATTCGTGGTTAGAAGTTTAAAACCAACAAGTAAACAATTCATATTGCTGTTATTATAAATTATTGCACCATTTGCTATGTTAGGACACAATAAACGCAATCATTGCAGTTTGTAACATCAACCTTACATTATAATTTGTAAAAACACAAGCTGGTATCCCATTTCATTTCCATTTGTCTGTTTGAAAGAGTCTAATATTCGCGAAAAAATTAACAAAAGTTAGCAGTTTACGTTATTCAAAGAGCTGATATAGTACTACAGTTCAACCTGTCTAAAGCGACCACTCAAGGGACCGACAACGTATGGTCTCCTTGGACAGGTGATCCCATAGACAGATTCATGCATAGGGACATTACTCATAAAGGCAAACGTTGGGATGTCTTTAGCTGGTTACCATAGACAGGTGGCCGCCATAGCAGATCAGACTGTACTACGTGGAGAAGGGTACACATAATGTGATACTTCTGTTCGGATTGGCTGTAGAAAGGCAGCGGTTCACAATTCAATCGCAAGATATTGGTTGGATGGTCCTTTATCTGACCGAGAGAGAAGTGGGTGTCCGCGAAAAACAGTGCCCAGAGACTACCGTGCAATAATTCGCCCGGTGGCCGAGTGTTGTGCGAGCTTGGTGTGCAACCATAACATCACTGACGAAGCCATTATTTTATTGGCGAAACGTTACCAAAAATACTATACCAACCGATTGTTTCCAAACCTCTCTGAACTCATAACATCACCGCTTCGAATCCGCGTATGGTTGGGCGTCCTCGCGGTCTATTCGGCCCGCGCGCGACTGGTGGTGGTCACGTGGCAACGAAGTGCCGTTACGGCGTACAGCTTGGCGATTTATTTTTATTATTTTACCGTGCAATAAAAGCCATTGTTTCACCTTATCTAACAGCTCATAAATGAAAATCAAAGCTGTTCTGCTTTATAGATGTGTTCTCTTGAGTCGGATGACTGTTTAGTTCAGGTTAGTGGATGATTTTAGGCTGAAATCCCAAACCTGCCAGAAAACAATGGCTTTGATTGCACATTGGTCCCTGGGCGTGGTTTTTCGCGGACACCCACTTCTCTTTCAGTCAAAGTACCATCTAATTAATATCTGGCGATCACATTGTGAACCACCGTGTTTCTACAGCCAATTCAAACGGAAATATCACGTTCTTTTACCCTTCTCCACGTATTATTACTATTTCAGCTCTTTGAATAGTGTACACTGCTGGTTGTGCCAATATTTTCGCGAGTATTAAACCTTCTCAAACCGGCAAATGGCACTGAAATGGGATAGCAGTTTGTTTTTACAATTTATAACACAAGGTTGATGTTACAAACTACAGTGATAGTACTTAGCGTGTCCTAACATACCAAATGATGCAATAATCTTCAGTAATAGGGAAATATGATTTCTTTGTGCGTTAGTTTTAAACTTTTGGCCACGACTGTGTTTCTCACCATACGGCTTACGTTTGTTTCCCCTTTGGCTTAACAAAGATGTAGACAGCGGCATCTTTTCCTTGGGATGTGAGGTCATTAGCTTTAACCGCAATATCTTTCCCCATCTTGTAATAAAACACCTAGGGTTGAGTACATTCCCAGCTGCTCTCTAATGCTGACCCTGTATTTTACCTAACTGAAATATCCTGCAGAACACGATCGTTTGTCGACTGTTCGATTGTTATCATTCCAAGTGCGTTTCAACTCGTCAAGCCGAAATATTCTTTATGAACCCAAATGGGTTCTTTTTCATTATTTACACCATCATTGCAGATATACTGGATGATATAAACACTAAACTACACATGAGTGGGAAGACAAAGCAAATACATGCACAGCTGTCGCTCTAACAACCGCTTGCGTAGTATGTATGATTTACGTCGGGTCAACAAGCATACGTGAAAAATAAGGTAAGATAGTATTACGATACAAAAGAATGCGGGGAATAAAATTCCAACTTTTGAACCCGTAAACGAGGGCGTTTTTGAGAGGTTATTGTGCAGTTGGTGAAATCGCTCATTTAGGACCTTAGAAGATGTCTAGAAATAATCAACTCAGCTAAAGAACCTCTGGACAAGATGCTGCGTCTAGGAATGGGCTTTATTGATCATACCAGTAAAGCATAGTCTTTCGGAAGCAGTCCAGGTAATATGACGAAGGAGCAGTATTACCAATGAGGTATAATGGTAAAGATCACATCTTGCGTATTCAAGTACTGGGTACTGAAAGCACCTTAAGTCTGCAAGCGTTAAACGAAGTGTTCTGACTTTATGAAATGTTTCGCAAACATGCGTGCACCAAAAGTTCTTCGACAAAAAGACGCGGAGACACTTGACCGTAGATGATCTGGGTATGGGATATTCACCCACTGTAAGGGTAGGGGAGATATTTATGAGAAGCTACAATTTATCGTCACGAAGAAAAGGAGATTATGCATCACTGCATTTAGAGGCGTTGACTGTAAGGGATCTGACGAAGATCATTACACCAGATCTTCCAATCCACGTTGAAGTGACGGCTAATCCTGAATAGTGAGAGCTATACATCCCAGCACAACATCGTCAGTATATTTGCATACAATAAACATGGATTGTATTAGAAGACGTTCGACACCTAAGGTAAATATAATAAATGATATTGCTCCCTGCAGGACACCACGGTCGGCACGGCTGACAGAGGATTTCATACAGTTTAACTTGATGAAATGGGCACGATCCGTCAAATAATTACGCAGCAGATTACACACACCCACGTGAATTCCATTCTCGGACAGCAGATTGCGAAACATTGATCTATCCGGACTTCCGAAAGCATTTGAATAATCCAAGGAGAGAAGGTGCACGGATTTACATCTTTGATTTGGTGCAAGCGCCATAGAAAGAATAAGGTATGCCACTCTTGGAATATACTTGGAGCTGATCGAGAAGTCATGATTTCAGAGAGATTTTTGTACAACCGGTTGGTTTATTATATTGGCGTAACGTTTCGCTTTTGATAAAAAAATCTTTGTCAGGTCAAATGAGTTTGTACACAATTGGTGTGGCATTTTCTAGTGGGTAAGGGAGCTACTCTTGACAGCTGAGATATAAGTCAAGGTACTCTTACAAACACAGATTGAAAAGTATGTCACTGGGTCCAATGTAGAGCGCTGGGGTCTATGTACACTAGTGGTTGTGCAAATCCGCGGAATTAGCTGCTTTTCGAAAACCTTCAGATGCGTAGATACAGACGAAATCGGGTGACACTTTTGAGATCCGGAGTCATTCTGGCCGATCTTTATAACGAGACATTTGTGAAAGAGATATGTTAAAGGTAGTGTGAGCGAATCCGCACTCTTTCAAAGCTACTGGTGAGAGAGAGCATCCGGATCACTGGCTTTTGTTTGACTTCAGCCTTCTGAGTTCCTTGTGAACATTGCATTGGTTGAGGGGCGCTGTCTAACTTGAGCCGATGAAGGAGGGCAACGAGATGCAGTTGGTGAGGTGATGCTAACTTCAACATTTAGTTTGTCCACGTCCACTTCACCACTATGACTGTAGGCGCTTTTGCCATAGAGCTACCACAGAAGCCTCCATAGATCACAGCAGTTGTGCTTACCTTAAATCGCTTCGATGTATAAACTGTTTAGCCTCTTTAACTCAGACATGGTTACCGAGGTTAGGCTCTTAACACGAGTAGACAACTTACACCTATAAGTCCATTCTTTCGTCCTTCGAAGTCGCCTTAGCAGTGATGAAAATGTATCCGCCATTAGGTGATTCGTTTCAACAGGACAACACAGGTCAAAGTAATATTTGGTGTAGTCTATAAGATGGTCACATTGAAGCGACACATCCTCGTTGTTGAAGATTGAAAAGGTAGTTAAGGAAAACATCGACTGGAACCTTGCGACATATTCAACGGAGCAATTTTGCCGACTAATAGTCTGGAAAAGTCGCCTAGTCAGTGTGACAAAACTGACCATACTCTGTACGATTGGACATGATTTCAAAACGCATTGGTCTAAGCTGCTCAAAGGAGCTCTGTATGGAAAACAACTTACTTCGTTTATGTAAACAACGTTCAGCTGCATGTTTTGTCTGGTCAGAAATTCAACAAATTTACCGAATGAAGTGTCTTCAGGCATGTTGTATCATTTTTATTAAAGTCCCCAGCAACAAAAGATAGAAGAATCTAATTCCAAAAGCTTCGTCCCTGACGTTTCCGGCAATAGCCGATTGAAATCCGCTTAAGAATTATGCATTCAATTAAATGACAGTTTATAGAGATCGTTGAAGGTGTGAATATTACGGTTGCTGGATTGTACCAACACTGGTTAGCGTAAGATATAACGCCCCCACCGCGAAACTGGCGCTTTCCACGACGGTTAGATGTGATGAAAAATGGCCACTGAGCTGAATAACTCCATTCTTGACATCATTTTCTTGTAACAGAAATCTTTGTTTACATGCTGACGTCGCATTTTAAGGGCAGATATCATAAACTTTACCAAGAGGCGAGCGCATATTACTGGAAAGTATCACTGGGACTTGTGCTTTGTTGATAGAACAACGACTGAGGCCAGATGGCCAACCAGCACGATGCTTTCGCTTGTTTCCAAAATGCTTGCTATAATTCGTTTGAAGCTGTTCCTCACTTTGTGACCATATTGGCGGCAGTGTTCCAGGACGTGGTGGGTTTTCGCCTGGCAAGCCTTCGCCCTATACAAAGCCACCAATGTCTGCTTAACAACACTATGACGTGGCGGATATGACTCGCCACTAAATAGAGTTACTGTTTTGCCATACCGGAGTATCTTACACGTTTCGCGAACGTCAACTCCTTCAAAGATTTCATCTGATCCCTTCTATCTTGGCGCATTCCTCGTACAAACTCCCAGTAACACTAACAAATTCACACTACACGATTACTTACACATGCACTCACATAAGTACTACACATACGTGTACCCATGTATCCGGTGTGTACTGGTTAAATCGTAACATTTCTGTACCATTGCTGATGTTACGCGTTTGTGTTATCATGATCGTGCCTTCGGATGTGTCTCGCACCGTCGAGAATGAATTGTTTGTTTATTTATTTGGTGAAGCCCGGCTCTTGCGCCATATCAAGTAACGTTTTTTTAAGGGATTAACAGTATAAAACAGCATTACTGACCTCATTATGAGTTCAGAAAAACAAAATGCCTCAACAATACAAATGAACCGTATAAGCTGCAGCCAACACTGCGGAAAACTATCTCAATACGAATCGCAACAGCCGAATTTAAAGACCTGATCAGCTAGCGGTTTTGAATGAAGACCGCTTTGGTTTACCTCCCGTTAATGCTTGTACAAACCATCCTAATACGATCGTGATTCTCACTTTCTCCCTGCGACATTTTGCACAACCCTACTTTCAACTGTCCTGAACTACGTTTATTCATTTGCGTTTGAATAACAAATTTCCAGCTATCAGCTGTACGACGGCGCATCTTGCCTATGTATTGATGGCAGTCAATCACCAATAATCACTCTTGAGGTCTCGGTATACTGCGGCGTCTCCTGTAGGATCGAACTGGTGACATGCAAATTACATACCGGATACTCGGACCACTCGACTACTGACCCTGGAGTACGTATTATTATCCTCGACGGAACCCTCGGGATCTACCACATCAGGGATTGGTTACTCTTTCGGATATGCCTTGGTTACGAAGCTGGTGGCGCTCTTGCGTTCGATCTCATTCGAACTGTCGTCTAATTCATCGGGCGACTTTAACCCTTGTTTGTTTCTCTTGAACCATAGTTATTTCGCGATTTGGATCAAGTCAACTGGATCCATAACACCTCGATACATGGATTTTAGTTGGTAAACCGGAAGGTCGTAATTGCAGGACCGCGTGAGCGGTAATGGGACTGGGTTCTGTGAGTCTGAGGATCTCTTGTGTTTTCCTGCCTTTGGTCATGTTTGCTTGCGAGTACTCATCTCGTCCTTCTATGGCGATAATGTGCGCAGTGAAACACTAGGTCCAGTTGATTGGTTTATTTTGATGATCTGGCGAATGCGACCAAATCGGTTGCGATTCTTCGCGCGTGAGTATGCAACCATGACATCAAATGAGTTGAACAATTCTTCTCGATGACTTTTCCACCGGCCTTTTGATAGGGATTTCATGTCTTAATTGGGGCATGATTTGATGTTTAGTGCCTATGGTCCGGCGGTTAAATGAAGATGCCTTATACGCAAGACGCGATAGTACAGTAGGTCATTTCTTTCAATGCCAATAAGTGTGTAGCACTTCAGGGCGTTTCTACAACCCGATCATTGCGTTATTATTGCGACGAGCAACTGTGTCTGCCCGCTTCTTTGTGAATATTATTGAACACCATAGTTCAACAGTCTTTGAATTTGCAATTGTTTGGTGACCGTGTACCAGTTTCGGTTCATTGTCGGTCGTTGAATCCTTCTCGAATATCGTGGATCGGTGTCCCACGCGTTGTCCAAATATCCCAATCGCTTTTGATGTAGCCGGCCCCTAGCCTTAAGCATCACAGCCTGTGTTATAATCTGAGTGCGCGGGTTCGAACTTGCGTAGAGACCGGACAACCCTCTCTCTGTCTCTGTCTCTTCAATGCCTAGAGTCTCGACTCAGACGATTTCCATGCTTTGTACAATATTTTCCTGCAGTGCGTTTAGATTTTACTGGGTTTGTCTGAACTAACGTAAAGCAATTTCTGCTGCTATCGAGCTTGGTCGCTTCCGCACACATTAACTGAAAGAATGAACTCTCGTTAGGGAACTCTTTCTGAGGTCGCCTTGTATGCCAATTCGCACTGTTATCAGCGCTGACGGGGTTGGATTCTTAATCACACCGGCTAGGACTTCTGAGTTTGTCAGGATCCAAGCTTATGGTTTGAAATCAAGGGTCGAGTACAGGATTTACAGCAAAAATATTAACAAATCCACTTTATGCGTGATCGCTTTGTAGTTAGTGAGCAACCTGCATTCTATCACACAGGTACATATTGGTATTTATGGGATGATACAGTGATTTGGGCAAACCGGCATCTTTAGATGGTAAGAACCGGAATAATCTTATCATGAAAGGTCGAATGTCAACATATCGTTAGATCACTTATCACATTAGCATTCTCGGCAATATCCACATAGATATCTATAGCGAAGTGAGTTAAGAATTTGATACAGATGATACAACCATCACTCCCAATCCATGTTTGCAGATGCAGCTGTGACTTATCGATGCTATGTCGACGAATTTGAGGTAGCACGGATTGTTGTGGCCTGAGCCGCCAATTATTTCTACTTTTGACACTACGATTACCCGAAGTTTTTTCACCTACAGGTCTACAAATCCAACACTCATCCCAATTTTCCGAATGGTGGGAAAATGTCACAATACTTGATGAGCCTCCCCTTAAATCAGTACGTGGATGTTCGCGGCCCCGCTGGAAATTTGCATTACAAAGGAAATGGTTGGTTCTCATGTTTTATATTCCTTTTGCATATGTGCTGTGTCTCTATTCCTACTTCTTCATATCCTTCAATTCGTACCACCACTTGGCGTTATGTATTGGGTTACGTGGTGTTTTCGTTTGTTGTGTGGATCTATGATTCCTTTGAACATCTCCAGTTGTGGCTCTTACATTAATATTAATCTTTCTTGCTTCACTGCAATCCTCCTTCCGTTTTCTCTTCCTCCTCTGTCGCAACGGTGCATTATCTTTGTGTACCTTTGAGAGTCCGTAGAATTGCGCAATATTCGAGTCGCGGGCTCTCATCCTGTCACGCTCTTCTTTCGTGATTTGCTTCAATTCCTGAAGTTGCTTCAATGTCTTGTTTACTTTGTTTGTCAGCTGCGAAGTTGGATCGGTGTCGATGCACCTGTAGGTTGTTGTGTCATTCAAGAGGCATGCGGCCTTCTCAATGTGATCCTCTCTATTCATTATGACACTCATTCGTCCCTTGTCAGCTGGTAGGATAATGATTGTTTCATCAGACTTCAAGGTATTCATTGCCTCTTTTTCTTGTCTGCTTAAGGCGTTGTATTGCTTGTTGTGCGTTATAGCAGGAACAATTGTGTGTCTTATTTGCTTTTGAGTCTCTTCGTCTAATCCATTGGATTGAAGGACGCTTTCGAATGCTGCTAAGAAGTCGGTAGCTGTTGCATCTCTGTAGTTATAGTTTAATCCCTTGATGAGGACTTGCTTTTCGGCATCGTTGATTGGTCGATTGGAAAGATTTCTAATCCATCCGTCACTGATATTTTCATCTTTAGGAGACGTCAATTTTGATAACTTATCGAGAAGCGCATTATGCTTTTTCGTCCTGGTGTTTGCTACCCGACGTTGTATTGCAGCTTCTAGTTGTTCTGTTAATTGTTGTCCAACGACTTGAAGGCAGCTAGACCGATGTTCGTTCATACTTCTGTCATATTTTCTGAGACGATTGTGAGCGTCGGTGATCATTAAGCGTATCATACGCCTCCCGAATTGTCGAGCAGCAGTCCACGCTTGAGGATGATCAATCGGCGGTCTGTATCTGATACTGCGAGAAAGAATGTCTGTCCTCAGACATTCATGAAGAAAGAAGAGCTGCTGTCTTGTAGAGGCTTGTCTACAAGCGAAATCCTCCCAACGGCGAGCACATCGGAGCGCTGAACGCCCGTAGTTGTTTAAAATGTTTCGAAGTACTGATTGCTCGGGTTGATGAATCAATTGTTCATTTGTTCTCCGACCTTGGCGGTTTTCTCGCAAACGTTTCACCACCATGCGAGGTGGCATCCTCAGTGCAGTGATATGTAGCGTGCAAGCTTACTAAATGAATCCTCCATCCATGATCGATCTTGCCGAGATTGCGAAAGGGATTATTTTGACCAGACGGGAAGAAAATTGGTAACAAGGATACAAGAACACAAGAGAGCCTGTGTAAAGCGTTATGCATCGTCGTTAGTTTCAATGCATGTAGATGAAGAAGGACATAGCTTCGATTGGAGCAAAGCAGAAGTCCTGGCACGGGGTGAAACAAGAAAAGAAGGAGAATTCTTGGAAGCTTTGTTCTCAACGAAACATTCAATCAACATGCGTATGGACATCGATTCAATATACGAGCCACTACGACAGAAAGACATAAAGAACCTTTTGTCACGCGGTTTGAGGCAGGACAACTCGGGCGCCGACTTTAGCCTTGGGGAAAGCGGGTAGAGGTCACGGGACCTAAATCGACACTGCCACGTTCAAAGTCACTTGCAGGTCGATCATGGATGGAGGATTCATTTAGTAAGCTTGCACGCTACATATCACTGCACTGAGGATGCCACCTCGCATGGTGGTGAAACGTTTGCGAGAAAATCGCCAAGCTCGGAGAACAAATGAACAATTGATTCATCAACCAGAGCTACCAGTAGTTCGAAACATTTTATTCTTTCTTGCTTCACTGCAATCCTCCTTCCGTTTTCTCTTCCTCCTCTGTCGGTGTCGAATGACCGTCAGCTGTGTGCAACGGTGCATGAAAGGTCGCCGTCACTGTCCCGTAATAGCGTCATCACTACTGAGTTTGAACAGCTGCACAACGCTCTCTGACGCATCAGCACCTTCCGTCTCATCACTTCGCTGATTCTGTCCGCAGTCTGTATCATGTGGTGTCATTTTGTGGAACTGCATTTTCTCACACCGGAAAATTCGTCGGCGCTATGTGCCATGTCTTCCTGCTGCTGTTCAATGTTTCCACTGCTTTTTTCATAAGTTACCATAGGCACTTCTTATAGTTTAACCAGCGTTCATCCTGGAAAACTGCATTTTCATGGATTCCTGCCGGTTAACTCGCACTTTGTTTCACCATGCAGGGTTGTTTGCAATCAAACCTGACGCCGCCAGCCCCCCACGAAATTACCAAGTCACTTACGTCAGTATGGTTTGCGGTGGGTCCGGAATCACCCCAATGTTTCAACTGCTTCGCTACATTCTGACCAGGAAAAACGACAAAACTAAGTTAGCATTAGTGTTTGCCAACAACGTGAGTCTTTTTCTACCCCCAACTTTACTTTTGCCTTGTGTTCTCGTCACACTTGCATCGTTTCTTGGATCTATACCAGGAGCTAGAGTATCTAAATGATTTTTCATGTCTCTTGTTGATGTTTACGTCTATTCCGTCAAATTGAACACTACTTGATTACATCTTGTCTGGTAGTTAGCATGAGGCAAAAGTAATTTCACCGAATTTCGTATCAACTTACTACTGGCAGTTTGCCAACACTTCTCGATGTTTTCAATTTACACCATCGATCCTAAAAAGGCACCGGACAACCGTTTCGATTTAGTAACTTAACCAAGAGAATATGTACCGCTTAACCGTCCTGTAGGGAAGAAACGATCATCCGGCGCTGGCTATTCGAATTGATCTAGTTGCGCTGATTTTCATTTAGAATCATTTAAATCCTCTTATTTTAAAGCCATATAAGGCTGAACTAAGGTTGTTCGCTTCCTTACTGGCTTTAATGTTTATCAGCCGATGATGGCTGCGCGCATGCTACACACTACCGCGCACACAACGCACGTCTTCTTGGTCACCGACTTTGATCGAGACAAGCCACGTTCATGACGTGCACAGCCGAGGCAGAAGGAGCGCTCGCATCAGCGCTATCTGCTTGCGTGGTTCGGCTTGCGTGATCGCGATGACCTGGGCTGCAATTAGTGACGTTTTCGAGTCCCTTTTGAGTAGCGTTTTGTCTGGATTATCCTTTTCAATTCGTTCTCAAACACTGAACTTGGGTTCAATCGCACACGGCGTTCTCGAACTCCATTATCCCCTCAGGCTAGAGTTGGTTCAGTATTAGTGACGCACTGACGGAATCGACCAGTAACATTCAGCCCGATCTTCCTCATTTCTCTCTCTTTGAATCGCCAGACAGTCAATTTAATGTGTGACAAGGTTGTTGACGAACTTGAGCATGTGTATGGGTACTGTAAAGTCCAAAAGGAACTTCGATGTATTCCCAACCTCTATTGCTTACATGAGGACACGGTATCTCTATTCCCTTTTTTTTGCTCGTTTACACTGCTTTACTGTGTTTTACAAGCGGTTATCATATTGTATATTTATTCCTTTCATTCGATCACTGACATATCCTTGACATTTCAAGGTCATTCATATTATTATGTTACTGTGACACTGCCCAAATACTCGCTCCGTCCCACGCTGTGTAGTTTCTGCCCACTTGCACTACGATTGCAAAACATTCGTAGGTTATGTACTGTATTTAATATGCCTTATAGAACCGCGGTTACAGGATACTTCGTTTTATTCTTCTGCCCAGACCGTGCGTTAAGTCTAGGTTTATTTGTTCGTAGTTTCTAGTTTAGTTTTCGTACGACGTGCTTAGTTTTGGCTTCGTATCGTTGGTACATAACTTGAATAGGGCAATCATGTCCGTTTCTGGTGATTCTCATGATGAGGTTAACGTTACTGATGCTGAGAAGCTTCAAAGAGCTGAATCCCGTATTCGTCTGTTGGAGTCGGCTTTAACCAGCATGCGCATATTGCAGGTGAAGGCGGTTGATGTTAAGGACTACTGCGAACTTGAATTTGAGTCGGATGCGCTTATTAACGAACCATCGCGATTTATTCCGGCCAAATATTGTGTGCTTTCACCCGAAGTTTCCATCTGCTGGTCATTTTTGAAACTGGTTAATAGGGGTCCGTAGCTCAGTTAGTTTGTCTGTCGGCCTCCGTTTTGCTCCGGCCTGCAAGCTGACCGTAACATGTGTCCGGAACGCAAATCAAGCGACTTTGTACCCAGCACGTCATCCTGTCTTCCAAAACGCGAACTTATCACATTCGCTGGAGATCCTGCCCGCTATTGGTTTTTTATGCGATGCTTCAAAGCCAATGTCTCCAGAACTACTTCCGATCCAACTATCAGGCTTTCATATCTGGTACAGTACTGTTGTGGCGAAGCCAAAGAAGCTATAGAAAGTTGCTTAATATTCGACCTTGGTGAGGGTTTTGAAGAAGCAATGAACATTTTGCGCAGACGCTTCGGAGGGCCCCACATGATTGCTAGGACTCACATTAATGCTCTAACTGATGGCACTAGCATCAGGCCCAATGATTTCGCTGCTCTGTCTCGTTTAACTGTGGAGCGGCGTTCATGCTACTTGACGTTGAAACAATTGAGGTATGAATCCGATTTGGACGCGTCCAGAACAATCAGCTCTGTCATCAGGAGGCTGCCCAACCATCTGCAATTCAAGTGGGCCGAGCATGCCACCAGAGTTATCCGTACGGACAGAGAACCGAACTTCAATGATTTGACAGATTTCGTGGATGAAACCTCAGACGTTGTCAATACTTTCTTGTCCTTTGCCGCACCTCCCTGCGGACCACCGATCAGCACCGATAGGGGCGGAAGCTTAAACTCTCGGGGATATGCCACTTGGCTAAACATTGCGGCTTCATCAGAACGAAATTTCCCTAAATGTGTTTCTTGTGAACAACGCCACTATTTACTTATGAGTGGAAGGATTTTGGTGAGTATTTTGGTTCGTCGCAATCAACCGACAATTCAGATAAGTCAACTAGCTAATCGGAAAAGCACCAGACGGCCGTTTCGCTCTATTGGGGCTCATCAGTGGTGCGCATCCTTCGGTCCTCTGCGGAGGATCGAACCCATGACTGCTAGAGGCTCTTGTCAACTAGCCCGCAGCTTATGCAACTGCGCCATGGAGGACGGTATCCGACTATCACGAATTGTTAGCTAAATGCGCACCACTGGTGAGCCCCAACAGGGCGAAACGGCCGTCTGGTGCTTTTCCGGATAGCTAGTTGACTTATCTGAATTGTCAGCTGATCGCGACGAACCAAAATACTCACCAAAATCCTTCCACTCGTAAATAACACAAATTCGCCCTTACGGATTCCACAAAATGCTATGTCGATTCATAGCTGCGGTAACCGAGAAGTCCTGACGCCGGAAGGCCAACTGCTGTCATCTGCATTGCAGGTGCCTGCATGGCAGTGGAGGATGGGTCGGGCTATATCGCATTTAGCTAACAATTCGTGATAGTCGGATACCGTCCTCCATGGCGCAGTTGCATAAGCTGCGGGCTAGTTGGCAAGAACCACTAGCAGTCTTGGGTTCGATCCTCCGCAGAGGACCGAAGGATGCGCACCACTGATGAGCCCCGATAGAGCGAAACGGCCGTCTGGTGCTTTTCCGGATAGCTAGTTGACTTATCTGAATTGTCAGCTGATTGCGACGAACCAAAAAGCCACTATTTAAATCAGTGCGATGATTTCCGAAAGGTAAACCCCAATAAACGTTTTGAATTCTCTCTCGCCCATAGACTGTGTCAGCTCTGTCTCAAACCGAATCATGACCTACCAAATTGTCGCTCACGAATATGTGGGTCGAACAATTGTAAGCTGCTGCACCACGCGCTACTCCACGTTGATCGAAGCAACTTCGGAACACCAAACACTGAAGGATCCAGTTTTGCTCTCAGTCACGTCGAACGCTCTGTTGTGACGCTTGGCTCGTTACCTGTGCTTGTTCCTGGGCCTGCTGGCACCATTCGAACATTAGCCTTAATAGATACTGGATCAGATACTTCACTGATTGATTCAACATTACTACAAGTTATCGGGGTTCAAGGGTCCGTGACGACACTTAACATTAGCACCGTTGTTAGCCGATGTCAAGTGGAGTCCCAGTTGGTTAGTGTAGTTGTTCGATCTATAGGTGGAGATGAGGCGGTCCAATTAGATTCAATTAGGTCAGTCAGTCGTATCCCTCAAAAATTTGGAACGAGAAACTGGAACAACGATTTCGACAAATGGTCCCACCTCTCCAATCTACGGTTACCGGAGCTGGAAGGAAGGGTTGAACTTTTGATTGGTTGCGATAACCCATACCTACACTGGGCATTAGATCAGTGACGCGGGGATCCTGATGCTCTGTATACTGTTAAAACTCCATTGGGCTGGATCGTACTGGGACCGAACAAACAAAGCGAGGCTATGAGGGATCAATCCACATCACTGATAGTTGATCGAACACGGAGGATCAACTCACTTCGTTGCGATACCACTGATCTTCACCAACAACTAGAGCAAATGTATGAAAGGGAATTTGATGGACTAGATAATCCACGACTAGCCATGTCTGTGAACGACGGACGCGCGTTAAGACTAATGGAAGCTACTAAAAGAAAAGTTGGTGCCCACTACGAGATTGCGTTACCATGGCAGGCCGGGAGACCTCGGTTACCAGATAACCGACAATTCGCACTGATGAGGCTTGCCATGTTAAAGAAACGTTTGTTGCAGAATGCCGCACTGCGCCAAGTATACACCAAGGCAGTGGAAGAATATATATTTAGAGGATGTGCTGAACTCGCTCCAGTACAGGAACAGCAGATTAAAGGGGAAACCTGGTACATACCCCACCACTCGGTATCATATCCCCGTAAGGCCGGTAGAGTGCGAGTGGTCTTCAGTTGTCAAGCTTCATACCGTGAAACTTCTCTTAATCAACAATTTCTACCTGGTCCCGATATGCCAAATATTCTAGTGGGGACGCTTTTACGGCTCAGGTTTCACCCGTCCGACATTGAAGCGATGTTTCATCAGGTCAAGGTTCCTATTAAGGATCGGAATTGTTTAAAGTTCCTGTGGTGGAAGAATGGCAATCTTTGTTCACCCCCTATTGAATACCGCATGACTGTACATCCGTTTGGCGCTACTTCGTCACCAAGCTATGCTAACTTTACGTTACGACAAGCCATTGTTGACAGTTATTGTGAATCCCAAACAAAGGCTAAAGAAGTAGCAGGGAACTGTTTTTATGTCTATGATTGTTTATTTAGTGTTGATTCTGTTCCCGAAGCAACTGAACCCGTTATACACCTTACCCGTATCCTGTCCGACGGAGGATTTCATTTGACGAAACGGATCAGCAATCGAAAGGAGGTTATCGCGCATTTACCTGACAGCGAACCGAAGGTTCCCGGAATAAG